ATTATATATTAATTTACTGTCAACTTTGGTTAATTTAATGCGTCTTTGTTGCATACAAGTATTCATTCCTTTAAAAAAGATCTGACAACTAATGGTAGCGTATATCAACATAACACAAATTAAAACCAGCATTTTACAGACAACAGCAATAGAAACGTAATAATCTCTTACGTTTGAGCATGATTTGGTTCTGCTCGTCATCACTGCCTGCCCAGGACAGACTGTCACCGATGGGCAGCTTGCATTTGCCGCACATAAACACCGCTGGACCGTCGCTTTCTCCATCTTCCTCCACTCTGGTGCTGCTGCTATCAGCGGCACTTTCGCAAACAGAGTATGTTTTATAGCTACAGTCATCCGCAACTTTAATTTTGCCAGCCATTTCAGACGAAATATCAAACTCGCCCACTCCAATGTATATTTTCACCACTTTTCAAATGTCTTCAAACGTACGCGGGCAGCTGTACTTCTGCGGGTTTGCAGTAAGCGCAGATAAAATAACAAGCGCACAGCGGCCCCTGCTGCAACGGAGCCACAGTTTCCCTTCGCGTGAGGTTTGATTTTAGAATATTATAAACATGACCAAACAGACATAAACACACAATACATACATTTCTAACACAAACACACTCACACACACGAACAAAATCTTTATTGGAAGAAAAGTTATACTTGAAATATTATATTAATCATTAATAATATGAATGATACTACTGGGAATGCATTTCAGTCCGATTGGTTACACTACTGTTGTCATTGCTTCTCAACTTCACCGCCACGCCCCGTTCAAATGCGTTTTTCCTCAACATTCTCCTCAAAAGTCACTTTCTGAGTGCCAAGAAACCACCTATTAGCATTTGTTTTCTCACTAAGGACCCTAAGATTATCAGCAATGGATTGAATAATGCGAATGTCGCTGCTTTCAGGCACCACTGACTTGTTGCGCACTTGTTATTTCCCTATAGGCTGCAACTCTCAGTGACTGCGTCTCTTTGAAATGTTTTCTTTTTGTGTTATATCCTCTAAATTCTTTTTAATCAAAGGAGAAACGATTTCGAGACGTTCGCTTTCTTACAGTTTGGCTTAAAAGGAGTCGCGGTATGAAAATATACTTTAAGCTGTGGCAGGAGAGAGAGAGAGA